ACATCATCCTGGCGAGCGGAGGCACGTTCCAGGTGGAGGTGTTCTGCCTGCACAAAGCAATGGCGCGCGTGATTCCAGACGTGTGGGATCGGTGGCGAACCGATTTCCAGCGCTGGGCTCCAGGCCGCGGCGGAGGGAAAGCTCCCGTGCATCTCTTCTCCCCTGCCAGGAAGAAAGCCTGCGTCGAGGCAGGGCATTTCGTCGGCTCCGCGTCGGACTGCCTCGCCGTCCTGCCGTTCCTCAGGAACTGGCTGCACGTGGATTTCTTACCGCATCACGCGCCGTTCCTGCCCCAGGCGCGGTCCTTTGAGGCCATGTATGCCGTCCTGGAACTGTACCTGGCGGCGAAACGCGGCGGCTGCCCAGACACGTTCGATGTTGATTTCAAGCGCCATGTCGGGTTGGCGCTCAGGAAACACGCGCGGGCCTACACGGACGCGTGGATCGTGCCTAAGCATCATTATCTTTGGCACGCAGCTGTGCAGGCGGCGGAGGATGGGTCGATGCTCGACTGTTTCGTGCTCGAGCGAAAACACAAGCTCATCAAGGACACCGCGGAGCACTACGACCGCTTGGGCGGCATGGACAAGGATGTGATCACCCAAGTTGTGGCCACGTACTTGCACGAGTCCTCGGCCGCGCCGCGCCAGTCGCACAAATGGTGGCCGACCCCTGAGCTCGGCGGGATCATCGGGCAGCGCGGTTGGGGCCAAATGGGCTTTGGTGCACGCGCGAGCCTCCATGGGGGGCGCGCCTGCGGGGGCGCCTCTCGGGGCAACGCCGAGGCTCGCACGTGCACCAGGGCCTATCCAGGCACGGCGCAATCACTTGTCGTCGAGCTGCTGTCGGCGGCCTCGTCTACGGCAGCGGGGGCGTGTGGCTCGAGGGCGACGCCGCGTTCCACGTCCACTGCGTGGCGGTGGCCGCGGGGCGCTCCTACCTCATCGTGGAGCCGCTGGACCTGGCGTCGCGGCCTGCGCCTGGGGAGTCCGCGTGGCGGCCACGAGGAGGACCGAGCTGTGCAAGGAGGAGGGAAGGGGGAGGAGGGGAGGGAGGGGGAGGAGGAGGAACAGGGGGACGAGGAGGAGGGGAGGAGGAGGGGAACGAGGAAGGAGAGGAGGAGGAGGAGGAGGAGGAGGAGGGGGACGAGGAGGATGGGATGGCCCACTACGCCGCCGCCCCATAGGATGCGGCGCGCTGGCTGCTGAGGACGCCCCGCGGGCGCCTGCGGCGTACACCCGCCGAGCCGAGGACGGGTCGGTCCGCGCGCTGGTGTAAACCGCGCGCGCGCGGCGGTGCACCGCCTGGCGGTGGGCCGCCGGTTGTAAAAAATCACGTTCGCGCGGCGGTAGCCCGCCTGGCGGCATCCCGCCTGGGGAAAAGGAGGGACGGAGAGGAGGGGGGCGGGAGCGGGGCCCCGCAGGCTGCACGGATCGATGGCGACGCCGACGCGTTTTTGAAAGCGCCCCCGCCCCCCATTTTCCATACGAAAAACCAGACTTATCGGACTTATAAATTAGATATAAGTTACATATAAGTAAGATATAAGTAAACTAGTTTTGATGAAGATGCTAGATATAAATAAGAAGAAGTAACATACATGCAGCATGTAACATATGTCAACGCCATCACCAAAGTGTTCAATGTCAATGATGTTTTTCATCCGGTGCCAGTGCTGGCGCCGGCGCCGGTGCCGGTGCCGGTGCCAGGGCTGGTGCCGGTGCGGTTGCGGGTGCGGGTGCCAGTGCCGGTGCTGGCGCCGGCGACGGCGCTGGTGCCCGTGCCGGTGCCGGTGCCGGTGCCGGTGCCGGTGCCGGTGCCGGTGCCGGTGCCGGTGCCGGTGCCGGTGCCGGTGCCGGTGCTGCTGCCGGTGCCGGTGCCGGGGCCGGTGCCGGTGCCGGTGCCGGTGCCGGTGCCGGTGCCGGTGCCGGTGCCGGTGCCGGTGCCGGTTCCGGTGCCGGTGCCGGTGCCGGTGCCGGTGCCGGTGCCGGTGCCGGTGCCGGTGCCGGTGCCGGTGCCGGTGCCGGTGGGCGAGAATCGTTCTATAGTGGATCTGTCCACATCCACCGCCTGGGAGCCGACGTCCTGATGCCCCAACAGGCGGTGGACCTGGCTGCCGGACAGGTGCCCCCCCCCGCCCCCCTCGGCACAAGCTCGGAGCTTCTCGAAATACCTGGTGCGCCACGTAGAGGGCGTGGCGAGGAAACGCCCCCGCGCGCAGCTGCCGGACACGGATACATTTTGCCCCCCAAGGGCCGAAACATATCCAGACCCACCGCCTGTGAAGGTTCGCGAACGGGCGGTGGTTCCGGATACACCCCCGCCTCGGATCAGAAATGCGCCCCCCTCGCGCCGCCCCCTATGCGCGCCGCCAACCGGGCGACCTGCCAAGCCACCCCAACCCAACCCGAAGCTGCCCTCAGGCTCGTCGATTTCCAGAGGGGGGGGGCACTCCAGAACAATTCGAGGAGACACGATGGAACCCGTACACGCCCCAAGCCCAAATTCGGGGTGGTCCAGGGCCTTCGGGTGGGGTGCGGGTGGCTTGATAAGTAGAGGCAGCCTGCTCCGCGTCGGCGCACCTTCCTCACCTCGGCGTGCCGTTGCAAGGCGCGCGCGGGCGCGGCTGGCCGGTGCGATCCTCGGATCCGCCGCGGGCCCCGCCTCCCGTGAGCGGGCGAGGTGCGCGGCCCCGCACACGGCATTGGCTGTGCGGGCTCCCCGCCCAAGACGAAGCCAGGACGAGAATACAATCGGGCGAGAACAGATCGGGAATCTCAGAGATCTGGCGGCTCTGGAAGATGTCTCGGGCGCCGCGGCCTCCTCAGAGCGTTCTGGAACGCCCTGAACGCGTTCTGGAAAGCTCTGGAACGGATTGAACCTCGTCCTTGCCCCGTCCGGCCCAACCCTGCCCAGACTGATCGGCCGCTGGTGTTCCTCGGCGGTTTTCGGCGCTCTTCAGGTGGCCTTCGGCGGTTCCTCCGGCGCCCCTCGGCGGTTTCGTCCAGCGCTCCTCGGCGCGAAATCTGCACGGCTGCGTTTCGCGAGGGGTCCGTGATCGAACTGCTGACACAGACAGCCTAGAGGATCCGCTGAAGCCGCTTCCTTCGACGTCAGGGCGAGCCTTTCTTCGGCGGCGAACCCGGGGGAGAAGTGAGAAGGGGCGGGCCTCCTCAGAAGGCTCGAAAGTCCCCCCAGCCTTCTGAGAAGTTGTCTAGACCGTCCCAGAGGACACGGACAACTTTTTGGAAGGTTGGAGGGCTTCTGAGAAGCCCCGCCGCCTTCTGAGAAGGCCCGTCCAACTCACTTCCCCCCCCGCTCGCCGCCGACCTTTGCACACACAGACACGTGCGATGCTGGCTGGTCTCCACCCCGATCTGGCCTGGGAGCTCTAGGCCCGGGGCGTGGGGCCAGCTATCCGCGCGCCGTCCCTGGACAGAGGCGAAGGGGCCTCCAGGGGCCGAGCCGGAGGCAGACGACCCGCAGCGGCGGTGCTCAGAGCGCCAGAAGGCTGGGAGCCCAGACCCCCTCGCGCCGTGACACAAATGACGACGGGAGGCTTTGCGCTACTTTCGGCCTCTGGGGATCGTCGCTGGGCCTCGGGACCATCGAGAAGCGACTCGGGAGGAGAAACCGGGCCCGGGGAATGGGTCGAGACCTCTGGGGGTCGATGTAATGAGAGGAAGCATGACCCCGGGCGTCCGAGAGGAGACCTGGCGGCACGCACAGGAGGGTGGGAGGCGAGGGGCCGGGCCTGCTGCAAGGGCACAAGGTTTCCTGCAGGCACTCCAGCCTTCTGAGACCAGAAAGTGTGCATGTAGGTTGACGGCCGAGGAGTCGAACCTACAAGAAGTGCCGTAGGTAGAGGAAGGCAAGGGAGAGAGCAGCGACCCCTGGGCCGGGACGGCAGCAGTAGAGGCGGCGCAGTACCTGTATCCAGCACCTGGGCCGAGACGGCAGCAGCAGACATGGATATAATGATGATGATATGAGCGGGCTTCACACACAGAAGGCCTCCTTGGAACTCGCTGGTCCTTTCTCAGGGGCGCCCTGCCTCCTTCGAGGGCCTCACCCCCTCGCCCCACCCCCGCCTGCGCGCCGCCGAGCCGTCGCCATCGCCGCCGTCTCCATCGCCGTCGTCGCCGCAGTCGTCGCCGCCGTCGCCGCCGCCGCCGCCGCCACCGCCCCCGCCGCCACCGCAGTCGCCGCCGCAGTCGCCGCCGCCGTCGCCGCCGCCGCAGGAGGCCTCCTGCGCGCCACCAACCGCCCCAGTGATGGGGGGGGCGAGGTGGTGGCGGCGCCGGCCGAGGCCCCGGCCTCAGCCTCTTGGCCGGCGGGCGCGACGGCAGGCTGCCTCCGGCGCGGTTCCTCTTTGCCTCGGCGCCCAGCGCCGGCGACGGGTGGACAGAGACGAGCGGCGCCGGGCGGGAAGGAGAGGGGCGCAGGGTCGACACAAACAAAAATTACCCTGCGACGTACCCAACCCATGTGCATCAAGTGGCAAGAGGAGTAGGCCAACATTAGCAGGAACAACGACAATGTAGACACGGTGATTTGTTGCGCAATCTACATGGGACGCGCATGCGTTGCACGACTCACAGGACGACGATCGAAAGAACGAGGGTCGAGGCCCCAGGCTCGAAGAAGAACGGGGACGGGAACGAGGGGCAGGAGGAGGATGGAATGGGGGGGCGAAAGGCCATCGCGGCAGCAGCAGCATGCATGGAGCAGGTGAAGCGGGGAATAGGACGACAATGAAGGTGGCGGGAGGAGACAGAAAAGCGCCGCGTTTTCAGGTACACGCTAAACACTGAGCGCTGCCTGCGCCATGTCGTCGCAGCGTTCCACAGGCTCAAACCTGCTTAAAGTAAGTGCAAGAAGCGAGCGAGACTTAGCTCGCCCGCTAGCTTCTCCGCCTCATCCCTGCACATTTAGTGCGGGAGCTGAACGTTCGCAGGCGCGCCGCCAGGTCTGCGGGCGGCCCGCGGGAAATGACACATGTTCACAGATCGCAGCCCTCCAGGGATGGCGAAGTCTAATCTGAATCCCCGTATGACGTCACTCCGCTGGCCACCCCAGCACCCCTCGAAAGTGGCGACAGGTTCGCAGATCGCATCACCCTCGCCGTACATCGCCAGGCTTCGTAGCATGTGGTGCCTCACTCCGCTGGACCCACCAGCAGCCCTCGAAAGTGGTGACAGTTCCGCAGATCGCAGCCCCCCAGAATGCGATGGTCCTAATCCTGAGTCCACGTGGTGCCTCACTCGCTGGACCCACCAAGCATCCCTCGAAAGTGCGACAGTTTTCATAAGGAACGGCAGCGCAGCCGCCCCCCCCCCCAGTGGGGATGGCGAGGTCTATATGAGTCCCCGTGTTGTGCCTCACTCCGCTGGACCCACCAGCAAGCCCTCGAGTGCGACAGTTTCACAAGATCCGAAGAGCTCCCAGGGATGGCGAGGTCTAATCTGAGTCCCCGTGGTGCCTCACTCCGCTGGACCCACCAGCAACCCTCGAAAGTGGCGACAGGTTCACAGATCGCAGCCCCCCAGAGATGGCGAGGTCTAATCTGAGTCCCCGTGGTGCCTCACTCCGATGGACCCACCAGCAGCCCTCGAAAGTGGTGACAGTTTCACAGATCGCAGCCCCCCAGAGATGGCGAGGTCTAATCTGAGTCCCCGTGGTGCCTCACATCCGGCTGGAACCCACAGCAACCCTCGAAAGTGGCGACGTTTCACGATACGCAGCTGGACCCACCAGCAGCCCTCGAAAGTGGTGACAGTTCCGCAGATCGCAGCCCCCCCCCCCAGGGATGGCGAGGTCTAATCTGAGTCCCCGTGGTGCCGAGAGGAGAGGAGGAGCGAAGAGAGGAGAAAGGATGCAAGAGAGGGGAGGAGGAGGGAAGAGTGGCAAGATCGCAGCCCGCCAGGGATGACGTGAAAGGCAAGAGAAGAGAAGAGGAGGAGCGAAGAGAGGAGGAGAAGGAAAGCAAGAGAGGAGAGGAGGAGGGAAGAGAGGGAGGGGGCGGGAGGAGGAGAACGGAGACCGCAGTGCTCTATTCAAAACGAGTACCCAACGCAGGAGGGTTGGGAAAAAACATATCTATATACACACCAACACACACTTTGGGCGTCGCGGCCACTCACACGGCGGCGCGGCGTGGAACAGGTGGAGCAAGCGCGAACATTTGTCTGGCTCACGCAGCGGGGAGTAGCTGGATCAAACCAGAAGGGATCGACAGCGACGCCGCTCACGGGAAGCGGCCGTGAGGGGACAGACGGAGGAAAGAGGGCAAGAGGGAAAGAGGGGAAAGAGGGGAAAGGCGAAGCAGTGCGACAGTCCCTGGGTATGAACACACACACACACACACGCACGCACACACGCACACACACACACACACACGCACACACACACACACACACACACACACACACACACACACACACACACACACACACACGCACGCACGCACACACACACACACACACACACACACCTGTTGCCGCTCCTGCACCATCTCGAGCGCACGGGACCCGAAGGGAGTCAGCACCCAGCACCACAGCTATACCAGTTCTGGCAAGTTCTCGACTCTTGCAGAAAACTTGCCCGAAGCGTGCGGGCCCAACGCTTGAGCGGTCACCCCGCAATCGAGGTAACTGTAGGACCGAAGCAGTGGAAGAGAAGATATGTGATAAGCAACTGCCGATCATGAATCCGGATACCATGACGTCTTTCACCTAGCATGGGTCCACGTCAGAGATCATTGGGATCGCCGTGCCGTCCTCGCGCTCTTTATGTTTCTGAAGCTCCTGGTAAATGTAGAGAACGATACAGAGGAGGCCGGCGATGACCACGCTGCGCAGCCCGACGAACAGGAATGAGAATTCGCCGACCCCCGCTCGCAGGGGATGAAGAGGCGTGCAAGATGAGTGGCTGTTCCCCCTCGCCTTTCCCCCTCCCCCAGAACCCAAGATCCCGTCAGAAGGGGGGTCCCCCCCCCCAAGCTCATCAGTACGCCCCCGGGGACCCTCGGAGCCTCAAATCCACACTCTCCGCTGCAGCCGTGATGCCCAAGGTGCTTCCTGAGAGGGGCCCAGAAGGGCTCCAAGACGCCGGAGAGGCCGCAAGAACACCCAAGATTGCCTCAAGAGGGCCCCAGACGCCCCCAAGACGCCGGATGAGAGCCACAAGAGGGCCCCTAAGAAAGCCTCAGGAGGCGAACATCGTGGATCCACCAGAGCTTTTGGAACCATATTCAAATTGTCCTTCTCGGGTGTCTTCATGCCCAAGACGGCCCGAGAGTTTGAATGATTTGTTGTGTTCTCGCTTCTTCGGGTGTCTGTAAGCCCAAGACGGCCCGAGAAGGCCCCCAGACTGGCCGAAGACGGCCCAAGAGGGTCCCAAGAGAGCCCGGAGACGGCCCAAGAGGCCCCCAAGACAGCAAACAACCTCCTCTGGGGCCCCGACAAGGTCACACGAGAGGCCCAAGAAGGGGAACCCGTCTGAACCCCCTGAGAGCACCCCTATAAGATGGCCCCCAAGACCCCCTAACCTGCCCCCAAGAGGCCCCTTCTTAGGTCCCAGGAAGCCCCCAGAGGGCTAACAACGACCAACAAAAAACGATAGCCTCGAAAAAACTCCACGAGGCCACCCCCTAGGCCTCCAAGAGGCCCCAGAGAAGCCCCCAAGAAGCCCCGCAGCAGACGCGGGGGAAGAGGAGGACTAATCAGCAACAACTACACGCAGGCAGTACGAGGGAAAGCGGCAACCAACATACACGAAATCGCAGGCCGCACATCTGCATAATGGCGCAAGCCTCTTCGATACTACAAGCAGCACGGAACAGCCGCCCGCTGCCAGGAGCTCCACGAGGCCAACGACAGTCCAAAGCGTGCCTAGCACGAACAGCACGAGAGCCACAGCCAAGCAGAGCGCTGCCCTGCGGAAATCATCGTATGGGACGCCTGGCACGGCGGCCTCCAACACTGGCCGCAGGTCGGCATCAAGCCGGGCGACCATCGTGGGCGGCTGCGCCAGAAGCGGCTGGGACCCTGGCGCGTGTTCTTCGGGAGAGCTTGACTTCGCCGCTAACGCACGCTGCACCGTGGCAATGGGGTCCTTCTGCAGTATGGCATACGCGGGGGACAGCAGGTAAGCGCCAAAGCCGGACGCACATGCAGTGAGCAGTCCCAAGCCAGCATCCGTTCTGAGCCAGCCGGCCAACGGCACGTGACAGACGAGACGGCCGCAGATGAACGAGAGCAGCAACTCGACCAGCGGCAACGCCACGGCAACGAACGCATACCGGCGCGCGAGAGCGACCCAGGCTGTGGCGCCTGCGAGCTTGTCGGAGTAGCCGCCGGGCCGGACGGCAGCTTCGAGCACCTCGCGATGCTCCTCCGGCACCAGCCCTGTCTGAATGAGCACCTCCGTCAGGGCATCACGCTCCGTGGGATCGAGCTCCCCGACAACCTCCGCGATCTCCGATGGCCTCACCACCTTGGCGGCCTCGGCCTGCACGGCCCGCCGCAGGCCCCGGACCTCCTGCTCGGGGACGTCGCGGAGGCGGGCGCTCTCGGCCACCCGCGCGAGGTTCGCCAGCAGCGGCGACTGCCCCCCCGCTGCCGCTCAGCATAGGGGGAAACAGGTCCTGAGGGCAACGGGTCCTGGACTTCTGTCGGGCGTGTCCCCCTACAGGGGGATTTTCGACGAAAAATGAAACATATCCCAGAATACCCCCAAAAAGGCACGAAAAAAAACGCAGAAACTAGTCCCCAGACTATTTTTGGACCATTTGTTGAATATGTTTGGGGTACTTGTTATTTTTCTTCGAAAATCCCCCTGTAGGGGGACAGGCCCGACTTAACCCTGGACCCTGGGGCCTCCCCCCAGTGCGAGATCTTCATATCCCGAGCCCTTTCCTGGAGATCTCTGGACCCGTGGAGGGCCCCGAGAGCACGCAAAGCAGAGAAAAACCTCGGGACCCCTTTTCCCCAGGTCGGGCAGGTCCCCTACAGGCGGGCCTTGGAGGAAAAATTGGAAATAGACAGAAGAATGCTAAAACATGGGCCACACATACTGCAAACATGTCCCCCGACTATTTTTTTACTATTCAAGAACATTCCTCCTGCAGAGGGGCAGGCCCGACTTCACCGGTTCCCTCAGGACCCGCGTCCCCCGTGGCGATGCCGCGGCGGCCCTGGCGCCCGGCGCCGGGCGGCCTGCCCGCAGCTCACCCGGGGCCTCCTGGAGCTGCGGCGCGCTCTGCAGGACCGCCCGCACGGCCTCGGCCTTCCTGCGGGCGGGGAGCGCGCCGTAGCCCCGGATGGCCTTCGCCACCAGCTCCTGGCGGCCCTCGGCCGGCGCCGACCCCAGGGCCCCCGCCAGCTGGTAGAGGGCCGACGGTCCTCAGAGCGCGTGCTGGAGCCCACGTTCCGGGGCGGGGCCCGACGTCCTGGTGCCCCAGCGGGCGGTGGACATGGAGCCGTTTCGGCCACCGGGGGCCCGAACATGTCCGTATCCACCGCCTGCCGAGGCTCCGCAGACTGACCCTCCAGGCGGGGGTCGTGCACAAATTCCCGCCTTGGACACGTCTGCTTGTCCACCGAGGCCCTTCGGTGCGACGCATGCGGCGCGGCGGCGGCCGACACGGGCCGCACGCCGTCGGCGGAGCCGGGCGGGGTTCGCACACGCTCGGGTGAACACGCGGCCTGGGGATCATCGGGAGGGGCGCGGACTGCACGTCCACACCCGGCCGGGAGAGCGCCTGGAGCTGATCCAGAGCCCACGCAGTCACCTCGCCGGGGGGCTTGCGCAGCAGCTCCTCGAGCAGAGCCGCTCCTGGATCGGAGGGTGGCCGCGACATGTGGGCAGGACTGGAAAAGGGAGCGGCGGGAAAAAGTTGGCAAGGCTCGACTGTTGGGCCAAGCCTTGACCCAAGCTGCCCTAAGCCGAAGTGGCTACAGCATCATCATCATCATCATCATCATCATCATCATCATCA